AAATTTAAAGTGGTGACAAACAAGTCCCTATCAACAATAACCATAAACATAAATAGATTAAATGCTCCAATCAAAAGGCACAGTGTAGCTGAATGGATAAGAAAACATGACTCATATATTTGCTGTCTACAGGAAACCCATCTCAGATCAAAGGACTCACACAGACTGACAGTGAAGGAATGGAAAATATTTTTCAGGCAAATGGAAATGACAAAAAAGTAGGGGTAGTAATATTTATATCTGACAAAACAGACCTCAAAGTGAAGGCCATAACTAGAGCTAAGGAGGGCCACATCATAATCCTAAAGAAAGACAATTCAACAAGATGATATAACTGAGGGACTTTAATAACCCATTGATACCACTGGATAAATCCTTCAAACAATAAATCAGCAAACAACAATCCTAAGTGACTCACTATATTAGATGGAACTATTTGACATCTTCAGAACATTTCTCCCAAAGCTATGAAATATACATTATTCTCAAGTAAATCCGCCACATAGTAAGACATAGGCAAAGTCCGTCAAACTCAAGAAGATAGAAATCATATCAAGCATCTTCTTAGATCACAATGGCATACACTTAGAAATCAACTACAATAAAAAAAAAAAAAAGCAAACATTTGGAGGCTAAATAGCATGTGCTTAAACAATGATTGTGTTACTAAGATATCAAAGAAGAAATAAAAAACATTTTTGAAACAAATGACAATAAAAATATGATAATCCAAAATCTATGGGACACAGTGAAAGCAGTCCTGAGAAGGAAGTTCATAGCTCTACAGGCCTACCTCAAAAATAATGAGAAAAAATGGTAATAAATTATCTAACCTTACAACTTAAGTTAAAAAGACAGAAGAAACAAACAAACAAACCAACAAAAAGCCCAAAGTGAGTAGAAGGAAGAAAATAATAAAGATCAGAGCAGAAATATATGACATAGAGACAAAAAAAAAAAAAAAAAAAAAAAAAAAAAAAAAAGAGCAAACACACAACAATACAAAAGATCAATGAAACCAAGAGCTGGTTTTTTAAAGGATAAAAAACATTGATGAATCCCTAGCCAGGCTCACTAAGAAACCAAGAGAGAGGACTCAAATAAAATCAGAAATGAAAGAGGTGAAATAACAACCAACCCAACAGACATACAAAGGTTTATAAAAACAAACTGGGCAACCTAGACTAAATGGACATATTCCTAGAAAAGTACAAGTTTCCAAAACTCAATCAGGAAGAATCAAAAAATCTGAATAGGCCGTTAACTACTAATGAAATTGAAACAGTAATAAAAAACAAAAACAAAACTTCCAGCAAACAAAAACCTTGGACAGGACAGCTTCACAGGGGAATTTTACCAAACATTTAAAGAATTTACCAAACACTTATCCTTCTCTATTCTAAAAAATTCAAGAGGAAGGCATACTTCCAAACTCTAGAAACCCAGCATAACCCTAATCCCAAAACTAGATAAAGAAAATTGCAGGCCAATACCCCTGATGAACATAAATGCTAAAATCCTCAACAAAATTCTAGCAAATAAGATCCAGAATTACATTAGAAAGATCATACACCATGACCAAGTGGGATGTATTCCAGGGATGCAAGGATGGTACAATATCTACAAATCAATAAACATTATACATCACATAAACAAATCAAGAGGGAAAAAAATCATATGATCTTATCAACTGATACAGAAAAAACATTTGACAAAATCCAACACCCTTTCCTGATTAAAAAAAACACACAAAACTCTCAACAAAGTGGGAATAGAGAGATCATACCTCAACATAATAAAAACTTTATATGACAAACTTATAACCAACATATATTCAATGGGCAAAAACCAAAACCATTTTCCATAAGAACAGGAACAAGACAGGGATGCCCACTTTCACCACTCGTGTTCAACATAGTACTGGAAGTACTACCCACAGCAATCAGACAAGAAGAAGAAATAAAAGGCATCCAAATTGGAAAAGAAGAAGTAAAACTGTCATTATTTACAGATGACATGATACTGTACATAGAAAATCCTAAAGATCCCATCAAAAACCTACTAGTCTTAATAAATGAATTTGGCAATGTAGCAGGATACAAAATTAACACCCAGAAATCTATGGCTTTTTTATTCACCAATAATGAACTCACAGAAAGAGAAACTAAAAAATAATCCCATTTACCATTGCACCAAAAAAATTAAGATACCTAGAAATAAACTTAACTGAGGAGGTAAAAGACCTGTACTCAGAAAACTACAGGACGTTGAAAGAAGAGATAGAGGAAGACATAACCAAATGGAAGATCATATCATGTTTATGATATTGATAGAGTCAACATCCCTAAAATGTCCATTCTCCAAAAAGCAATCTATAAGTTCAATGCAATTCCCATTAGAATACCAACAGCATATTTCAAAGACCTAGAACAAACTCTACAAATATTGATATGGAATTTAAAAAAAGACCCCAAACAGCCTCAGTAATCCTGAGAAAGAACAAAGTTGGAAGGATCACAATACCAGATATTGAGCTATGTTACAAAGCCACTGTCCTCAAAACTGCTTAACACTGGCACAAGAACAGACATATAGACCAATGGAACAGAACAAAGAACCCAGAAATTGACCCAAGCCATTATGCTCAATTAATATTTGACAATGGAGACAATAAACATACAATGGAGTCAATGATGTTGAGAAAATTGGACAGATACATGCAAAAAAACGAAACTAGACAACCAACTTACACCATACACAAAAATAAACTCCAAATGGATAAAGGATTTAAATGTAAGACAGGAAACCATAAAAACCGTAGAGGAATCCACATGCAGCAAAATATGAGACGTATGTATTAGCAATATCTTTACTCATACACCTCCTAGGACAATGGAAACTAAGGAGAAAATAAACAAAAAATAAACAAACAAAAAAAATCAAAATAAAAAGTTTCTGCACAGCAAAAGAAACCATCAACAAAACAACAAGAAAGCCCACTGCATGTGAGAACATATTTACCAATGTTACCTCAGATAAGGATCTAATCTCCAAAATTTACAGGAAACTCATACAATTTAACAAAAGGAAGGTAAACAATCCAATCAAAAAATGAGCAAACTATATACAGAAGAGGACATACAGAAAGCCAGGAGACATATGAAAACATGCTAATTATCTAAGAGATGCAAATCAAAATACCTGTCAGAATGGCTATTATCAACAAATAACAAGTGCTGGCAAGGATGTGGAGAAAAAGGAACCCCTGTGCACTGCTGGTGAGAATGCAGATTGGTGCAGCCACTGCAGAGAACAGTAAGCAGTTTCCTCAAAAAACTGAAAATGGAACTCCCATTTGACCCAGTAATCCCACTTCTAGGTCTATATTCCAAGAAATCATAAAGGATATATGCACCCCTATGATCACAGCATCACAATTTACAATAGCTAAGATTTAGAAATAGCCTAAGTGCATAGCAGCAGATGAGTGAGTTAAAAAACTGTGGCACATCTACACAATGGAATACTATGCTGCTGTGAAAAAAAAAGATGGAACTCTTACCATTTGCAACAACGTAGATGGACCTGGAGAGCATTATGCTAAGCGAAATAAGCCAGTCAGAGAAAGATAAATATCATATGACCTCACTCATTTGTGGAATATAATGAACAAATAAACTAATGAACAAAAATAGAGCCTGAGTCATAGAAGCATCAAACAGACAGTCCAACCTAAGAGCGAAGGCAGAGCTGGAGGTAGGGGGTGTGGGTGAGGGGGTGTTGGTAAGAGATTGGACAAAGGATTTGTATTCATGTATATGAGCATAACCAATGGGCACAGACAGTAGGGGGGTGAGGCATGTGCTGGGGGTGGGACGGCTGGGGAGAGGTCAATGGAGGGGAAAGGAGACTTACATAATTCTTAAACAATAAAAATTTTAAATAAATAAAATAAAAAATACATAAATTAGTTCACAAAGTAAGGTCTTCAAGTTTTTCATTCATTTGTCCTCAAAGAGTTCCCCTCAAATTAGAACCTAATACCCAGAAGAGAAAAATAACACATTTGCTCAAGCACAGAGCATATGTTCTTCATTTATATTAGCTTGTTTTAAACATATCTCACAGAGGTGTATAAGTATCTAAATATGCATATCTATATACTCACACCAGAAAAAAAATAAGTCATGAACCCATCGTTTAAGTTATCTTTGTAAAAGTCAATAAAATAACACCAGCAACAGCATTATCGAATAATCAGGTGATGATGACTGCTCTCACTGGACTCTAACAAACCAAATATGCACTCAACACATCCATCTTTCTTGCCATCAGCATTCTTTAGATTATTATAAGGTAAAAAGTATGGATAGAAATTCACTCCAAATAATTTCTCTTAAAAAATTTAATTATCTCTGAATATAGTTCCAATCACTGAACAGATAACCTTCCTTTAAAACACAGTTCAACAGTCTAACACAATTTTTAAAAAAAATTTTGTTTTCTAATCAGAATTTCTCATCTACTGCATACTTTTGTCTAAAGAGCAACATGTGCATTTTAAATCATTAACTATACAGCACAAAATAATTAGTACAATCAGCATGTAAATTTCATGAAGTTGCTGACTGAGTTCTCTTAGGCATTTTATAAAACACCCAGTACAAGGATGCTTATTAAACATATATGATGTTTAGTAATAAAAAGTGTGCCAAAACAAAAGTATTTGTTATACAATTTGGCTGTCATGTATAATAGAAACCACTGATCAGTATCTGTTTTTCCAAGTGCAAGAAACCAAAACAAAACAAACCCCATTCAAATTAGAAAGTCTGTCTCTTCTGTCCAAGAATACTGTTTCATTTTTATGTCAGAAAGAAACTGTCAAACAGCATGCAATATGCAGACTGTTGGGGTATTAAACCTAAGTATTTATGTACCAGAAACAAAGCACAAAGCCTAAAATACTTCATGCGTATTTTTAGAAATATTTTCCTTACCTTTCCCATTTTGCCATGTAGTATACCAAGATAAAGTGAGGAATGAAGTGATAAAGGCTAAAATGGTGGCTACAGTTCCATTTCGGAGCCTCATCTCATTTCACCATCACACTGGTTCATACATTTACGAAGTCAACTGAATCCAATGCTATTCCTGGCTCCGGGCCAATGAAAACAATCAATGAGAGAGGCTCATTTCAGCCGCTCTGCAGAGTAAGTTTGACAGCAACACCAGTCACACTCTCTATTCAGAATTGTCTTCACGGTCTTCATAGGTTGTCGTCTCAGGTCTTCTTCCTACCCAAGAGGAAATCAGGAAGAAAAAACTTGTTCAGAATCGCAAAATATTGGTTTCTTCATTTATTGGTCCCACCATTACAAATAGACTGTTGTCGGGGCTAACCTGTATCTAGGAAGATTATTCCCACACCAAACCCCTCATTAATATAGTACGGATGATAGGCTTCTCTTCCTCAGGGGGGGAAAGCATCAAACTATTCCCACCTTGTTGGTTTGGTTTTGTCCGAGAAAAGAAAGTTATGATTACTTATTTAAGAAGGGAAGTTGTGGGGCTCATTAAATATACAATAAACCAGATTCCATGCTGAGAATGCTAATGATCACACAATGGTTCCTAAGTAACATAACCTTCACTACCCTCAGTTTTCCTACAGCACAACAGCTGTTCTTTTTTTTTTTTTTTTTTAAATATATTTTATTGATTTTATACAGAGAGGAAGGGAGAGAGATAGAGAGCTAGAAACATCGATGAGAGAGAGTCATCAATCAGCTGCCTCTTGCACACCCCCTACTGGGGATATGCCCGCAACCAAGGTACATGCCCTTGACCGGAATCAAACCCGGGACCCTTCAGTCCCCAAGCCGACGCTCTATCCATTGAGCCAAACTGGTTTCAGCCAGCACAACAGCTGTTCTAAAAAACCTTAAGAAAGTGACAGACTACAACGTACACAATCCCTGGGTCCTCGCTCTGGCTCCATCATCATTCACATGGCAAGGTGTGTCCCTTATAGAGGCCTTACCTCTTCATTCACAAAATGCAGCCTGTCCCAGCTCCTCTTTCACATGTTACCATAAATCATGAAAAGGTTACAATATTATTGTCATGTATCATCATCAGAGAACAAATGTAGTATTTTCTGTGATTAATCTACTTCCAGGATGTAAATTGGGACTGTTTAGGGGTTAAAAAAAAAAAAAAAAAAAAAAAAAAGGCAGCCATCCAACCAGGATACTGAGTGACTGAGAAAGAACCCATTACTTATCATTGTTTTAACTCTGGAAAACCAGGTGATCTAATAAAACTGTAGAAAAAAAAAAATGAAATCAAATGAAGTCCTTAAAAGTACTTGAGCATAACTGCCTAGCACAAATAGGTTCTCAATAAATGTTAACTGTATTAAAAATAAGACCAAACAAACAAACAAAAAAACTACAGCCAGCCCCTGGTTCAATCCACTCTGCATAGCAGGTCTCATTCCCTGGGGGCCTGTCAGGCACTCAGATGTGCATTGATTCCTGGTGGCCTCCAGGGGACCAACCACAAGATGCACTTCACAATATATCAAATTACACTCTGGTGGGTGAGTTAATGCATCTCCAAAAAGGCCTACCAAGCCCAAGGGACATTCCCTCAGTAGAAGGACATGGTTGGTTAAAGTGGCCATTTATAGGCAATTCTGAAACAACCATCTCAGCTACTTTGTAAAAGTGAACATTGCTAGCAATCTCTTCTAGTGAAAAAAGGTCACTAGGGCATTGTATTAGTAATAATAATAGACACTACAACTCACTGAGTGTTTCCTATATGCTTGGGCCATTATATGTTTTAAATCTTCACAAAATCCTATGAGGCAGGCATTATAAACCCTATTTTACATCAAGAAAATGAGCCCAAAGACAGCCCTCATTTGTAAGACTCCAAAGTCTACGCTTTCTTACCCACCAGACCCTCTGCCTCTCAAAGTCGGCCACCTGCACCTAGACAGGAGCCCCCAAGTCTCAGGTTACAGAAGAATGTCCCCAAGGTGTTAATTTTTACCCAACAGTCTAAGTGTGAAACTAAAAATATTTTATATTCTATAACAAACATGGATCTATTATGAAATAAGCTGCAAAATTAATAAGAAACCTCAACGTTTTAACTCAAAACTTTAAAGAAACTTCTCACTTCCTGTAGTCTTTGGCTAACCCTTTCCGTATCGGGTGCATAAACCCGTGCCCGCACACACCCTCAGGCATGCCTGTTAACCCTCCTGCCAGCAGCTCTAACTGTGGTATAATATTCTAGAGGCAAAGAACTACCCCCACCCCCACCACTATCACTACCACCACAACCACTTCCTTGCTTACTCTTACTATCTGAAAACGAGGAACTCCAAAGATATTCTCACAAGTTATCACTGTTTTGGAAACTCAGTTGTCACCTTCTATGGTAAGACAAGTTAACATTAAATGACCCCATGTCTACCGTCCAGAATTTAAAATCTTCATGATGATATTCTATATTTTCAACTAAATTCCATCAAATGTCTAATATCTTGTTTTATATCAATAAGCACTCAATAATGAGTTCTGGTGATAAAAAGAGAAGTGAATTATATAACTTCTAACTTTAATCCTGGTATGACATTATATAAAAATGTGTATAACTTTGTTGCTATATACTTAGTTCTACCTAGTGCAGAAAGGATCTGTCCTGATAAAAGATCTAAAAATGTACAGGTTAGAGTAAACATTCAATTAACAATTATGGGGAAGTATAGAAGCAGAAAAATCACAAAATAAAGGATAATTAAAAAGTTTTATTAAATATAAATAAAGCTCCTATGATAAAATTCAGTATAAGTAGGTAGGGACAATTTAAAGTGAATGAATTCTGGAGAGAACCCAAGATGGCTGCTCGGGTAGGCACCTAGCCGCGCCGCACACAACAATTTCAACAAAATACAACTAAAATATAAAATGGACATCACCCAGAACTACAGGAAAGTTGACTGACTGGAAATTCTACAACGAGAAGCAAGGAGAAAACCAGAAGGAAGCGCGGAGGAGCTGGGAAAGCCTAAGGTACGGAGACACGCGGCGCGCGGAGAGGACGGAGCCGGAGAGGAGGGAGGCCGAGTGCCTGGCGGGCGTTCCCTGGCGGGAAGGAGATAAACGCTCCGACTGTGCTGGCCCCCATTCTGACTGCTCTGAACCCCAGGCCGAGGCCAGACCCCGGGGACCCAGGCTCACACAGAGGGAGCCGGGCTGAAAGGCGGAACCCGGGGAAGAGGCGAAAGGAGGTCCCGGCGGCGGCGCCGCGCAGAGAAGGGACGGCCGGCTGTGCCGCGGGATTGCCTGGCGGGAAGGAGACAGGGGCTCCAGACTGCTCTGAACGCCACCTCCAACTCCACTTCCAACTGAACTGAACCCCAGTTTCGGGACCATTGGGGGAGAGACTAGACTGTTTGGCAGCAGGCGAAAATCTAGGGCGCCTTTCTCTCAGAGGCGCCGGCAGCGAGCACTGAAGGACCCTGAGTCTCAGGAGTCGCATAGGGCGGGGCTGACGAAAGCCAAAGCTGTAGGCTCCACCCTGAAACCCCGCCCCATCAGGAAAGCTGCCTGCGAAAATGCCTAAACCAAATAGATCACAAACGAAAGAAATGGAGGACAAAAAGCGACTGGACATAGAGTTCAAAACCACACTTATAAGGTTTTTCAAGAGTTTCCTAGAAAAGGCCGATAAAATAAATGAGACTTATGAGGATATGAAAAGGGATCAACAAGAAATAAAGAATACATTGTCTGAAATAAAAACTATTATACAGAGTCCTAAAAACAGAATAGAAGATCGCAAGAATCAAGTCAAAGATTTGGAATATAAAGAGCCAGAAGATACTTCTCCGCAGAAGCTAGAAGGCAAGAGAATCCAGAAAATTGAGAATCAAGTCAAAGATTTGGAACATAAAGAGCCAGAAGATACTCCTCTGCAGAAGCTAGAAGGCAAGAGAATCCAGAAAATTGAAGATGATGTAAGAAACCTCTGGGACAACTTCAAACGATCCAACATCAGAATTATGGGGGTCCCAGAAGATGAGAGAGAGCAAGATATCGAAAACATATTGAAAGAAATAGTGACAGAAAACTTCCCCCACCTGGGGAAAGAATTGGACTTACAAGTCCAGGAAGCACACAGAACTCCAAATAAAAGGAATCCAAAGAGGACCACACCAAGACAAATCATAATTAAGATTCCAAGAGCAAAAGACAAAGAGAGAATATTAAAAGCAGCAAGAGCTAGGCAGATAGTTACCTATAAAGGAGCACCTATACGATTGTCAGCTGACTTCTCAACAGAAACCATGCAGGCCAGAAGGGAATGGCAAGAAATATTCACGGTGATGAATAGTAAGAACCTACAGCCAAAGATAATCTATCCAGCAAAGCTATCACTCAAATTCGAAGGTCAGATAAAGAGCTTCACTAATAAAAAAAAGCTAAAGGAGTTCATCACCACCAAACCAGAATTATATGAATTGCTGAAGGGGGTTCTTTCAGAAGAGAAAGTAAATAAAGATAAAAATTATGAACAACAAATACGTAACTATCAACAAGTGAATCTAAAAACCAAGAAAATTAAAAAAAAATCTGATGAACAATATTAACTGTTGAATATAATAGAACCAGAGGTATGGAAGGGGAGTGAACTGATGATTCTTGGGGAAAAGGGGAGAGGGGGATGTGGGAAGAGACTGAACATAAACTGTGCACCTATGGATGAGGACAATGGGGGGTGGGGAAAGGGCAGAGGGTGGAGTGGGAAGGGGGGGGAAGGGACATTTGTATTAATATGAACAATAAAAATTAAGAAAAAGAAAAAAAAAAGAAAATTAAGGAAACAAAAAAAATAAAATAAAATAAAAAAATAAAGTGAATGAATTCTAAAAGCAAAGTAGACTACAGATATACTCTTGAAAAACATAAGGAATATAATTTATTGTTTCCGGGAAGTTATTAAGCTCCGGTTTAAAGATGATATTTATAATGAATTCTAATAAATACGAAGACCTGGGATTCTGGAAGAAAACT